GGGCCCCACCGCTGCCCTTCTGCTGTTCCCACCTGTGGAGGAATCAGCTGCAGGGCTGCAGTTGCCCAGCTCCCAGGCTTGAGGTCAGCCTCAGTGGCCAGGCTGTGAATACTGGGTCACCGTGACCCCCCACCAGACTATTTCTGTTCATTCGGGAGGTTTATGGAGCCCCTGTCACACACTGGCTTCCTGGCAGGCCTGGGGGTACAGGAAGAGCTCAGCCTGGGGGCAGAGTGAGCAGGAGAGGTGGATAATTACAGAGTCAGCACGGGAGGCACGGTGAGTCAAGCGTGGTGACTCTGGGGCCAGTGTGATCTCATTGAGAAACCTGGCCTGGCCACTTGTTAGCTTGTGATTTTGAGGAAGTTGCTCCCTCTCTGAGCCTCAGTTTCCTCACTGGGTAATAACAGTGTCAACCCTGCAAGATGATGATGCCAATGAGAGATGTAAAGGTGTAACCCACAGCTGATCAATGAATGGTGTCACCGGTGTCTGTACTCAACCCACCTTGAGAAGACAGAGTGGAATATGTCGGGAGCGGGCAAGACGCAGCATTCAAGAAAGCAACGAGATGAAGCACAGCTGTAGCTGGGTGGGAGAGACTGAGACCTTGGGCTCATGGGGGCCTGGGGTGGGGCACGGTAGCAGAGGGGGCCCCGTGGGTCAAGGCATCCGCATGCAGTGTGGCTGGGGCACCGGGCAGTGGAGTGAGATGACGAGGGAAGGGTGGGCCGGAGCCTCCTTCATCCTGCAGGCGAGTGCACCTCCGAGGATGAGCTTTCAGGAGGGTGGGAGATGGGTTGTTTCCTGGCCATGACACTAAGCAGCACTGAATCACATGATGAGAAAGTCACTCCCTTTTCAATTCTCTTTCGAGCCTTGACTCCATCCAGGGGAAAGTGTCAACTTTTAACACGGAATACCTGTGACCCTCACAGGCCTCAAGGTGACTGCTTTCCACAGGCGACCGTAACCACCAAGAATTCTGTAACATTGTCATGCTTTTGTTCTTACGATTATCTTGTATTTAGAGCAAGTGGCTTCTGCTAACAGGGCTGATATAAATTTTCCTTATAAAAATCGTTTAAAAGCAAGCCATTTAAAGGAAAATACTAAAGAAAGGACGGTACAAGGGGAGATGCAGAAAGGGCAAAAATCACCGAGGTTGTACTCCAATGGCCGATCTTCAGGAAATGCTGCTGAGGGTAGTAGGGTGTCACCCAAATTCTGAGCCAGGGAGGGCCAGGTCAAATCTGGACCTTGGAGAGACAACTATGACCGAAGACAACTGCCTGGTCAGCAGAGTCCTGAGCCAATCCAGGTGGAAAATGAGGTGTGTCTGCCTGGGGCAGTGGGCTTCAGAAGGACCAGAGGGGAGACATTCTGGAGGCAGACAGGATGCAGTTTGTGACCTGCTGTGTGGTGACAGAGGGAGAGGCGGCTTCTGTGTCTGTCGTGTGAGCTGTAACCGTGGCTAGGTGAGTGTCTGTCACTCAGATTCAGGTGTTCCTATGACCTCCCATCAGACCAGGAGCTTCTTGGGGGCAATGTTGCCGCCTCCTCCTACCTCTTTTCCAACTGCCCAGAGCCCGTGGGGGAGTCTAGCTGCACGGCTCACCAGCTGACAAGTCAGGAGCTCAGACCAGGGTGGCCAACCAGCCCTTTTGCCTGCAACTCTGGGGTTCCCCAAGATATGAGGCTTTCGGTGCTAAAACAGGGACAGTTCTGGGCAAACTATGAAGCGCTGGCCGCTCCAGCTGGGACAATCCTCGCAGGGTGGGAGCCCTAGAACCAGATCCCATGGTGCTGGAGCTGCTGGCCTATGGGGCCAAAATGAGAAGGTCACACTGTCTGTATGGGCCTGGGCCCCGGTAACCAGCACACGTACACATGGACAGCACCACCCACCTCAGAGCTGGCCCCCGACCTTCTCAAAAAGGCTCGGTGACTTTAGTCCTTTTTAAGAAAATATGTTTCACCCTGATTAGGAGCCTCCAGTTCAAGTTTAGATTCAAAGACCCCAAAGACGCCATTTTCCAGGCTTGGGAACTGTTCTCAAAGGAATGTTTCTGACCCTGACACTCAGGGGCCCTCAAGACTGACTCTACGCATCCTCCAAATTCTCTGAAGCACTCCTGTGTCCAGCCAACATGGCCTGCTCAGCTCCCACGCCTGCCCCCATCCTTCCCACTCTGCCCTCCCCTCTTCCTGTTCTATTTGCATGGGGGGCTCCCTTCACACACCTTGCTGTGCTTGAACTCCACCCAAACTTTATGGTTTGGCTCAGGGCACCTCTCCAGGAAGCCTCCACATAACCTCCAGGCAGAAGATACCCTGGTTTCTTCGATCCTCTTTCCAAGCCTCCTCTAATCTGTGGCGGCCAGTCAGGCCTTCCACCTTGGACTGGGCTAAGCTGGAAACCACCAGAGGGAGGGTTCACATCAGATTCGTATCCCCTCCCCCACAACCTCCCTGCAGTCAGGCATCGGCATACAGAATTAAAACATGAACGACCAAGCGTATAATGCCTGGTTAGGAGAAATTCCAACTGTCTCTCCACCAGTCACCAGGGGACAGCAAGGAGTGCCTCTGCAGAGGCTGGTCTGTTCAGCCAACGTCGCTGAGCCCTCCACGTGGCGGACAAGGTGAACAAGACACTTACCACCCAGGAAAGGCCGCTGGGTTTGCCTGACGATTCTGTAATGACCACAAGGCAGCCCAGGGCCATGGTGGAAGGACAATGTGCTCTGGGAAGGTGTCACAAAGGCGTAGCCCACCTGGGGTCACAGAGGCTTCCCAGTCAATTGAACTGAGACCTCAGAATAAAGAGCGTGTGGCCGTGGAAGACTGGGACGTCTCCCTGCCACCATCTCAGAAGAGAAAGCATACAGCTTGGGGGTCAAGGCTCTGTCTCTGCGCCCCGGTTCCCGGCCGTGGGATCCCCTGCCTCAGTTTCTGCATCAGCACAGCCGGGCTGTTGCGAAGATTTGTGGGGATAATGGCTGGGGAGCACCCAGCACAGTCAAGCTCTCCCCAAACACAGGGGATTACTGTTGTCAGTATGACCCAAACAGCTCACAGGAGGCCAGAGGATTCCAGGCAGCCAGACCTCTGAGCCTGGGCTGAGCCGGACAATAATCCTGCCTCATGATTAGCCCCGACCTGGAGAGAGGAGAAACAGGGCTGCCCCGAGTCTCCCCTGCTGCCAGCGGCCGGCCGCTGGGTCAGACCGCAGGAAACTGAAGCAACAGAGACCAGGAGGCTGGGTGGCGAGTGGCCCAGGGGTGTGAGGGGGAAGGAAGCTGGATGCAGGCAGAGGAAGACGACAACTGAGGGCGTGGCTGAAGACAGGCCAGAGCAGAGGAAAGAGACAAAGAACAGACAAGCTTGGGAGAACACTCTCTCCCCTCCCGCCCGCCCTCCTGAGCTGCTCCAGACCATCTGTGGAATGACTTCCAGGACGGATGCAGCAGGGCTCTGCCACTCACAGGCTGCCAGGGCTCTTCAGAGGCAGCTGGGTATTTATTTAAGTCTGTCTGAAAGCCACCCTGTTAGGGGAAGAAGCCAACCATGGACCGGAAACCCCTGAGGTGTGTGAATCCCCACGTCACTTCTCAGCAG